TTTGTTTTTCCAGCATCATGACATTAAAATACGCAGCTATAAGCTCTCTCCCTTACTTTATTTTTCTTGAGTCAACATTGGCCAGGAGAAAGAAGCTGACCCCAATGGGGAGGGGGGGTGTTTAAGAAAATTACTTTATGACGAATTTACCAAGTTTACCCCCAAAAAGGCAGGGTTAGGGGAAAATGCATTGGCAAACTTCGCTTTGTGACCTAAATAACTAGAGTTCACGGAGGAAGCTGGCTGAGCGAGGATTTCAGGGAGGGCTGTCTGTTATTTGCAGAAAGAACCCTTTTCTGCCAGGCCCCTTGCAAGTTGCCCTGCTGGCAGACTTGGGAGAGCTCTCAAGACTGACGCCTGAAGATGCGGATTTGCTTGTTTGTGGTACAGGCATGAAACAAAAGCTTCTGCCACAGATTCTGACAGAGCAGAATAATAGCACTCAGACTTAAACTGTAAATTACAAACAATCCCTTTTTAAGGACAAAACGAATGCACAGAATGGAAGACCCTGTCAGCCGGAGCGCGAGTAAATCAAGGAGAAGACAAATTGTTCACTCATACCACCGCGGCCAGATTTTTATTGTGCTAACTGTACTATCATCAGAGAGCTTTTTTCTCTTTGTCAGATAGAAAGGGAAATTAACACGTTGTGATGCTAATAAATATGCCGGGCATCCGATGCATGCATCTCCTCTGAAAGCCAATCACCTTACGGGATCTGGTTCCCAGCCCCTCCCCCTCCCCCTGGTTGAAAAGTTGTAGCTTAAATACCAGTAGTAAGAACATGTGACCCCATCACTCCCAGAGCTACCTTTTTTTTCCTGCAGTCAATTTCATAATTACATCGCTCCGCCTCTCCGCTCAGCACTTCCTTCCCCCTCTCTGTCCTCTCTCCCCCACCCCCAGCAATGAATCATCATGCATTTAAAGAGACTTAGATGACCCAGTGTGAACTTTACTGGCATCCTGTACATTCTTATGCCAAAAAAAGGGAGTCGCTGTATGACAGAATCCTGGCCAGAGCCCGATGCAGATGTCAGGGGCAACAAGCTAGGGTACTTATCTGGGGAGATCAGTGAGGAGTTAATTTTCCTAGATCATGGTGGTGATTCAGAAATGCCTATCTTAGTTCACCATCGGGTTTTTCAGAACCCAGTTCAGTCCTTGATGCAGAAAGGAATATATCAGAGAGAAAATGTTGGCAGATCTCCTTATGCAATCAGGGCAGAGGAATTTATACCACATTCAGCCCTTTGATTTCTCCAGATCTGGCTGAGGGTGGGGTTTCCATATTTGTGCTTTGGCAAATGTGTCCAGCAATTAACTCCTCCCTCTATATGCTCCTAGTGTTCTTCCAGGTTATCGGGTGTTTCTTTGTGCATTTATTAAAACCCAAAACATTTCCCCCCTTCGTTTTTAAATACTGTTTCTGAGTAATGCAGATTCAGTCGACAATATCAATATGCATTGCCTTTAAAGGCTTTTCACCCTGCTTGCAGAGGTAAAGAGTTTATCCCTGAAATAACACTGTGCTTTTGCATGTGCTTTTCTGTCTGTATGGGAAACCCTCTCTCCCCCCAGCACCCCTTCTTTGCATGGTGACTTAACCCTCATACCCTGAGATTCTGCTCAAGCATCAACACTTCTGTGAAGTCTTTCCTGATGATCACAAGAGTCTGTGCTCTGCCCAATGTGTGAGTCAGAGAAGTGCTATTTTCTTATTCTTTTTATTTATACAATATTTTTTTAAAACTCTGACAGAAAAAAAAAAAAATCAGGGCCATCAGCACAGATGGAAAGAGTATCCTAAGTGAGAGCGTCTCTTATCAGAACACTTCCTGTTACTCCCCAAACCATCTGACCTCTGCTTATCATTTCAGCATGCAACTGTTTTCCTTTTGTTCATGACTCCACTTCAGTGACTCATCCCACAGGTCATTTCTTTGTGTGAGTTCCCATTGCCCTGTGATGTAGGTTGAATCGCATCCCCCCAAAAAAAGATGTACTGAAGTCCTAAGCCCAGTATCTGTTGAGTGTGACTTTATTTGCAAATAGGGTCTTTGCAGATGTCATTAGTTGAAATGAGGTCTTCCTGGGTTAGGGTGGTCCCTGTATCCAATACTACTGCTGTCCTCTTAAGAAGAGGAGGAGGAACACAGAGACACGGAGTGGATGCAGAGAAGAAGGCCAAGCAAAGACAGAGGCAGAGACTGGTGTTAGGTCCACTGCCATAAGCCAAGCAAAGGCATGAATCGCCAGCAACCACTGGAAGCTAGACGAAGCGAGGAAGGATTCTTTCCTAGAGCCCCGGGGGGAGCACGGACGGGCTGACACCTTGAGTTTGGACACCTAGCTTCAAGAATTGTGAAAGAATAAATTTCTCTTGTTTCAAACCACGCAGTTTGTGGTCATTTGTTACAGCAGCCCTGGGAAACTGATACAACCTCTTTATGAGGTCCGTGATTCCAGATCTTTTGTGTTCTTCTTTTTTTCTCTTTATTTACCCATTCGGTCTGATCTCTTTCCTCTATAGACACACATAGGTCATCAGTTCCGGAGGTGTGGTTGGTCTTTTACTCATGACAGTACCAAATACACAAAAAGTCCAATGGAATAGGAAAGCTGTCAAGAGCATTCCAGAACCACCTCCCCATCATCCCGGAGAAGGCTGGCTTTTGGCCTCAGGAACCGGGGACGGGGGGCAGAGGTCTGAGGGAGCCCCTCGTGCTCCCCACTTGGCCTCAGCTCAGAAGTCCTCCACAGGCTTCCTCAGCTCCCTCCGCCGGATTCCAGAAGGTACCAGCAGCGTCCCTCTTCAGAAGTAGTATTTCTGTGTGTGGAACAGGGTGAGGAAAAAGGCTAAAAAAAGCACATTAATTGTTTGGCATTAAGTAAATACAACCAAATCACTGCTGCTTGTTGTTTTTTTTTTTTTTAATGTTCATTTGAGTGTTGTAAAAGTGCTTATAAAAACCTCAGTCTTTCTGATTTACACTCAAGCCCAGAATCGTGAGGTATCTATTCTCAGACTCACAATGGGATGTATACTACAGGTCTTGCATACAAACCCCAGTAAATGGTAACTCCATTCTTCCAATGGTTTGGGTCAAAAAGCATCTCGACTCCTCTCTTTCTTTCATTGCCCACGTCCAATCCGCCCTCCAAATCCAAACAGCTCTACCTTCAGAGTATATCCAGAGTCTGACCATTTCTCCCCACTTGGGTTGCCATCATCAAAGCTAAAGCACTACCATCCTTCATTAAGATTATTGCACCAGTCTCCTAAATTGTCTCTCTGCCTCTGCCATTAGCAGATGGTTGTCTGCGTCAGGTGATGCCTCGACTCTGCTCAGAAGCATCCAATGGCTTTACTCCCCTTGGGGTCAAAGTCAAAGTCCTCCCATGGCCCACAAAGCCCCCACACAATCAGGATGCCCTCAATCTTTCAGATCCCATATCCTATCACTCTCTCCTTGCTCCCAGGGCTCCAGCCTCACTTTAATTTTTGCTCTTCCTCAAACAAGCTAGGTACTCTCTTGCCCCGGGGCCTTTCTGCTTGCTGGTCCCCCTGCTCGGAATGCTTTTCCTTGACTATCCAAGGCTCACTTCTTCATCTTCCTCAGTCTTTTTTTTCTTAAAAACAAACAAACAAACAAAAACTTACCCGAGAAGCATAATGTGACTCCCCTCCTTAAAAGTATACCCTCTGACTTTCCTGATCCATTTTGCCTTGCTCTATTATTCCATAAATGCATTACCTTAGAACATTCTGCGTCATTTCCTTTTTTTTAATTTTTTAATTTTTGTTTATTGTCAGGAGAGCAGGGGTTTTCCTCTAATTCACTGATAAACCCCAAGTGCCTAGAACATGATAGATACCCATTAAAGATGCATCGACTGTTAAATGAATTAGCGAATCAATAATATTTTTCCAGACCTACTATGTACAAAGCCTTATAAGGCCCAACACATCAATGATCTCATTAGAAGCTAATCCAAAACAAATGCATCTTATCCGAGCGATGGAGCATATACTATTTACTAGATCTTTGACTTAATTATACTTTTGACTTAATTATACTAATAAAGCTAAATTTCACAATCCGACTCAGGTTCATGAAGAACTTTTAAAACACAAAATTCAAAAACAGAGTTGAAGAGAATGTATGAGCCTGACAGCAAGTTTTGAGATAAATGGTATCATAGCTATGGTTTCTAATAATCATAATAAAAGCTACCATTTATCAAGCTCTTACTCTGTGCCAGGCAACATGGTAAGAGTTTTGTAAATCTCGTCTCCTTTAATCCCACAAGAATACACTGAGGTAAAGATCATGATCCCCATTTCTTAGGTGATTAAACTGAGACTTGGGAGTTTAAAGGTCCTGCCCAGGGTCCCAGGTCACCCAGCACCATTTCAAGTGGAAGTTACCCACCTATGCAGCCTGAGAATTTTTAACAAATCGTTACCTGAATGAAATAGGCCAGTCATAATACTGCTTCACAGTTTTTTGGCTAAGGCAACACTTTTAATACCCACCTCTATTTATTAGATTTCATTTTTGAGCAAATAATATGTGCATCTCAGAAATTAAAGCAAGTGATTTTTGTTGAGAATTGAGCATTCCTGCATTAACCAAAAGGCTTCGAGTCAACCTAACTAGTTAACAAAGCTCTACTTTTTCTCGACTAGCAAAGCTATACTCCAGCTTATGATTTTTGCCTCTGCTACCATATGGTTGTAAATGGCTTTCACTTGAAGTCCAAGGTCACATCCCTTGGACCCTTTCCTATTAGAAATGTTGGCTCCCATCTGGCACATCTCATCATGGTAAGGATTAAGTAGACTGTAAAGGGCCAACGTGAATTCCCAAGCTTAATTTAAGGACTTGACTTCCATTCAGTTAGCCTGTGCTTGACCCCTCCTGTTCCTCCCTGGAGCTTCCTGGAGTCCACTGCGCCCAGCACTCAAGTGTAGAATCTGAAAGTAACCTGGCCGTAAAAAAAGATGTGCAAAACAATATAACCTCTTCACAGACTCATTCCACTTTATATGCAAAGGAAATGATCCTAGAGCCCGAAATCGTCCCAGAGTTAACACTCTGGAGGATTTTGAAAGAGGGGAAGAAGAAGAAGAAGAAGAAAGAGAAGGAGAAGGAGAAGAAGGAGAAAGCCCTGTGTTTGCAATGATGTGAAGAGAGAACTCTGCTCTCTGAGCATGGAAGGAAGTAAGAAGACCCTATTTGTGGCTTCAGTAGAGGAAAAGAAAAAAGCCCCGCAAGGAAACTACCAACAGATGGTAAATACATTTTTAATTCTTCTGTCTTACTGTGTGGACTTGTGCACATTTGTCCTGCTGTGTTAGGCTCCCGAAATAGCTAGCCATGGAATTGCAGAACAGTTCTGTTGCAATTTGAGATTTAGGAAACCATGCTGGCTGACAAAACAGGAAGGGCTCCTAGTAGGATGGAGTGGATTTGCTTCCCTGTTTGCAGCTCCTCATGGTGGCATCCACTGTCATTCCAAGTGCGGGAAAATTCTCTCCTTTGTCAGGTATCATGGATGATGCTGTAAACTTGCTATTTCAAATTGTCCTCCGAGCTCTAGTTACAGTGATTAAATGTTGACGCTATCCCGATGATAACTCTCAAAGGTTAAAAGGAGTAAGATCCAAGTACTTACGGATGCTCAGTCCTCCAGGGAGCCACCCAAATATATATGGAAGCCCAGAGTTCCATACCCAGCCTTACTTTTCACTTTGATATTATAATGTTCCCATAGAACATCAGGGGGATTCCAGTGCCCAAAGAAGGACCAGTTATGATAATGGATTGCTCTAAAAGGAACTAAGGAGACGAGATGCCCATTCAGTTAACTCTGCATCTGAGAAGGGACCTGACACGGTACCAGCAACAAGTTAGGTTTCCAATCCCAACACCACCTCTCAGTGCGTGTGCAAGAAAGAAAAAGTCTTGGTGAATCCAACTGGATGTAGAATAATGGGGAGAGAGTGGTCTATTACTTAATCATAGTCTAGAAATATAACTTATACAATACCATATTATTAGAACTGGAAGGATCCTTACAGAATCTAATTCAATTTTTTCATTTTATAGACAGGAATCTGGGCCAAAGAATTGCAGGAAATTGGCAAAGATTATACAACTAGTTGGTGGCAAATTCAGTACTGGAACCTGAGACATCTACTTCTCCGTTCAATGCTTGTTCTACTTGAGCACCCACAGAAGGTGGACATTTCTATGACAAGCAAAATCCAATTCTAAAAGACCTTTCTCATGGTAATCCTCACTCTTGGGTTCTTAAAAAGCAAGATGATGCGATCTCTGGCCTATGAATGTTTGAGAAACTAGTTGATATTCTTTCTAGGGAAGGTTTCAAGCTGAAATATATTTGTTAATTTCTGTCCTAAACCCCTGTGGATTGTGTCGAGATTATATAGCTATCACACAATCTGGCACAGCTGTGATCCTCTTTTTATGAAATAGGGAAGATTGGTAGATAGGGATTAAAAAGCACTGGCAAAAGAGAACAATAACTTTCTACCCAGTGCCTTCCCAGTCTGAGAATCTCTCCTAGCCTCAATTGGAGAGAGGGGTGGGAGGTGGGGGGAGGGGACGAGGGTAGGAAAGGGGATTTTTATCTCCCTTAGAGAAAGAAAGGATACAAAGCACTTTAGCACTGCTCAATTTAATGAAATCTTGATTTCACATAGTTCAAATTTCTACAAAATTAGCTATATTCTTATTAAAAATGACTTATACGTTCATAGCTATTTTTTCCAATGGGTACCTATGTAGTTCACTAATAAAAACGAGTCTCAATCAGCTATTTAAGAAATCTTATCCTTTCCTTTTTTTTTTTTTTTTTTTTTTTTTAGAAAGCTAATCAGTAAACTCTTCAATAGCTAGTTTAGCAACAAGGTCTCCTAAATTTTGCAATTCTATTCAGCATTTTTGACCTGTTGCTTTTTGCACGTGATTTCAGCCATGTTTTATTTTATTTTGGGGGTGGAAAATTTTTTACCTTTTGTGTTTAAACACAGCATTCTTTGCTTTGAGACTCAACTTGACCATTTTGAGTATTCTTGCTAAATTTGCTGGCCATGTCCACGGTCTACAGACAGATTTGTGTATGGGGGAGGGCAGAATTTCTTCAGTGAATTATTTTGAGGAGAGTAGTCATGAAGGCACACCTTAGGTGGTTTTATTCCTGTGATCCAAATTTTATTTTCTAGCTAATATCACTAGGGACATTTGAAGCTTTAATAATTACATCTCAAGGCCTAAAGAAAAAAAAAAGAAGAAAAATTATGTTTACTATGCATTCACACACAGCATTTCAGAGTTACCATCAGAGAGCCTGTTTGGCTACTTTAAAAAAATAGATTGATATCAAGATTCCATTTTAAGAGTTCAAACTTAGCTGACAGTTTGTTCTTAAAAAAAAGAAAAAAGAGAAAGGACAAAGTCCCAAAAGCTAGATTTAAGCAATTGTTTTTGTGGAACGGTTTAGCGTTGCTTATTTGAAAGAGTAAAAAAATATAAGGTATTGATTTTACCTTTCCTTTTGGAGGACAGTTTTAGGATTTTTTTCCTCTAGAAAGTTTTGAGGCTATGATTCATGCTAAAAGTGCCCTGTTCCATTATGTACCAACACAGCTTTGAAGTTGTCCCTGCTTCTAGGTCAAGGGCTCCCCCTGTGGCTACATGCCAGTTTCATCCTTGGACTCTCATGATCCTCCGAAACAAATCAACTTTCCAGTAAAATCCTGTGGTAGCTCTATTTTACATAAAAGTGTGCAGCCTGGGGACAGGATACTGCTTTGCATTTTAGGTGGACAAGAAGGGAGAGAAAACATCCATTCTCACCAAAAGACGATTCCCAGAGGAGTCATTACTGCAGAAACCAGACGGCAGCTCACAGGTATCCCATTCACTCTGTCTACAATCTTTCTAACTCCAAAGCTTGTTATTTGTGTGGAAACAACAAAAATACAAATGGCGGTAAAGCGTTCTAAGCCATGTGTGGTCCTGGTCAGTACGTATCCCATGAGTTGAAACTGTAATGAGCAGCTCAGCTCCTTTCGGTCAGTATCTCTTCCTTGTGACAAGAAAAGGGGGGGAAAAATGAACAAGTTACTGTTACACATCACAACATGGATGAACCTCACAATGATGAAAAATAAACAAGAGGCAAAACACAAAATCATGTATACTGGATCGTTCCATTTGTAGAACGTTCAAAAACACACAAAACTCAATCTATTGTGTTGGGACAAAGTATGATGGTTTACCTTTGATGAGGAGGAGGGAGGATGGTGATCAGAAGGAAGCAGGGAGATGGCTTCAGGAGTGCTAGAAAGTTCTCTCCCTTGACCTGGGTGGTACATACAGAAATGTGTTCACTTTGTGACAATTCATTAAGCCATTGAGTTGTGATCTGTGTGCTTTTCCTCTGAGTGATTTACTTCAATTTAAGATTTTTAAAAATAATATCCCATTGGGAAAGATCATTTTAAGAACTATTAGAATAGTATTTTGTCTAATTAAACCATTTTGCCTAATTAAAGATATATAGATATGTATTACAGAGGAAAAATAGAAAATTCAGATAAGCTAAAGGAAAAAATTACATGAAGCTTGAGGGTAGGGCAACGGGAACGCTCATACCCTGCTACAGGGAATGTCAGGACTATGGTTGTTCTTGGGTAACTGTTCGGCATTATCTACGAAAGTTAGAGATATGCCTCTCGTGACCCAGATTCTACCCATGAGTAGACACCCAACAGCAATGTGTGCGTGTGAACACCAGAAGAATAGCAACTCTCTATTCGTGATAGCCCCAAACTGAAAACAAGCCAAATTGTCCATCGACAGTCGAGTGGACAAATAAAGTGTGTATATCCAGCCTTGGAATATCAAACAGCATTGAAAATTGGTGAACCATAGTACCCTCAGCAACAGGGATGAAACTGAGAAATCTAATGTTCAGGGATAGAAGCCAGAGGCAAAAAACTCTGTGCTCCCATTTACTTAAAGTTCAAAAAACAGTAAGAGACATAGTGATATAACTTTATAGTATTTAGTGACATAGACTTAGCTGGTAAAACTAAAGAAAAGACAAAAAAGAGATTATTATAAATGTAAGGGCAACAGTGACCTCTTGGGGAGAGGGTGGGTTGAGATTGGAAAGAGATGGATAGAGGGCTTCCAGGCCATGTTCTATTTTTTTTTTTTATTAAGATTTTTGTTTATTTATGAGAGGGAGAGAGAGAGATAGCACAAGCAGGGGGCGGGTCAGAGAGAGAGGAAGAAGCAGATTCCACACTGAGTGCAGAGCCCACGCAGGGCCCACACGGGTTGGGGGGGGGAGGGGGCGGTGGTGGCGGGGGGGGGGGGGGGGGGTGATGCCGTCTGGATCCCAGGACCCAGAGATCATGACCTGAGCCGAAGTCAGGCACTTAACCGACTGAGCCACCCAGGCGCCCCCGCCATGTTCTATTTCTTTTTTTTTTTTTTAAAGATTTTATTTATTTATTTGAGAGGGAGAATGAGAGAGAGAGAGCATGAGAGGGGGGAGGGTCAGAGGGAGAAGCAGACCCCCCCGCCGAGCAGGGAGCCCGATGCGGGACTCGATCCCGGGACTCCAGGATCATGATCTGAGCCGAAGGCAGTTGCTTAACCAACTGAGCCACCCAGGCGCCCCTATTTCTTAACCTGAGTAGCAGTTATGTGAGTGTTCACTTTACAAGAATTTATTAAATGAAACTTTTATATATCGTGCACTTTCCCAAATGTGTTATATTTCACAATAAAAAAGATATAAAAGTCACATGAAACCCAATTACTCAGAGACAGTTAATAATTTAACACCTTTATATGTGTACTGCCAGGCCTTCTTTCATGCAATATATACCGTTTTTTCCCCCATTGCTTTGTAGGCTTTAATTTGTTTTTTCTTTAATGATATGACCTTCCAGAAGAATTCCTCTTCAAGTTTTTTTTTTTTTTTTCCGCTTTCCATTTAATTTTAACTAAGAGTAAATATCATACAAGCTTTATGCCCCTATGGAAGCCTAAAGCCATGGAGTGGCTTTCAGGAAATTAGGTTGCTTTAGCCTAAGCTACATTGATTCATAAACCAATCTGCAGGATTTTGCTATAGCTCATGGGAGACTTTTCCTTCTCTGTTAATAATGCGGCTGGTTCAAAAGGGAAAAGCCTCTTTCCACCTCTTCACAGTGCTATCTTTTCAAAAGGAAAGGCGAAGCAATGAGGGGGAAAGGCCAGTGAGGAAGTGGTCAGGGGGCTTGAGGCAGAGGAGGGGTCATCCTAAAACTTAACCACGAAACACAGCCTGCTGAGCCTGGCCTGGGCAACATTAGGAAGTAGATCTTCAAAATGACCTAGGGTGTTTTTGTCTGGGTACCCGGGTGGCTCAGTCGGTTAAGCGTCTGCCTTGGACTCAGGTCGTGATCCCAGCGTCCCAGGATCGGGCTCCCTGCTCCGCGGGGAGTCTGCTTCTCCCTCCCCTCTGCCTGCCAGCCTATCTGCCTACTTGTGATCTCTCTCTCTCTTTGTCAAATAAATAAATAAAATCTTTAAAAAGATAAACAAGGCTTTCCCAACTCACTCTCCTCGCTTTCCCTGTGGAGCACAAACAGCTTCCGTAGCTCCATCACGCTAACACCGGCCGCTACGAAGTTCTAAAATCTGTAACTGCTCAGTTTCGAATACTTACCAGTAATGGCAATTTGCATTTGTATAGTGTTCGCCATTCTGTTAAGCACTTTCGCATATGATCTTGTACAATTGCAATAGCCAATCCTCCAGGGTGAGCTGGGAAGCTAATAATACCACCATTTCGCAGGTGGAAACACTCTGCGAGAGCTTGAATAACCAGCCCCACATTATAGGATTAGTTTTCAGCGTAAGCCAGGAATAGTGACCCCTTACTGCTGTAAGTGGAAACACATACAGTGTATTCTACATACAGATATATGGTCAGAGAATAGGAATATCAAATAAATGTGTGAGAGCATTCTGATTTTTTAAAAAATATTTTAGGGACACCTGAGTGGCTCAGTCGGTTAAATGTCTGCCTTCGGTTCGGGTCATGATCCCAGGGTCCTGGGATCGAGTCCTGCATCAGGCTCCCTGCTCAGCGGGGAGCCTTCTTCTCCCTCCCCCTGCTGCTCTCCCTGCTTGTGCTTTCCCTCTCTCTCCCTCTCTCTCTGATAAATAAAATCTTTAAAAAAAAAATAAAAAATCTTTTAGTGGATATTTCTTTTTTCAAAGCACTTGGGTTTTTTTGGCTTATTTTTCATCACAAAATAAGTACATACTAGGTGTAAAAATCAAAAGAGCACAAATAAAATCGATATCACTTAGGATCACGTTAAATAGAGCTAGCTACTCACCATCTTAATAACTGAACGAATTAAGTCTTGAGCTCTTGTAGAGTGAAAACTCCCCTCCCACACCAGTTCTTCCCCCCCCACACACACACTATATTCTTTATCTGCAAAATTTTCTGAGCTGTTCTTGGCCATTTGCTTTCTTATTTAAATTTTAGAATTGGGTTTTACTAAAACTCTATTGAGGTTTCTACTGGATGTGCATTATTTTTATGGACGAATTTGAGTAGAGTTAAAATTTTTACTGCATTGCTTCCTTTCTTTCGTAAGCACCATATAGTTCTCCTTAATTTGTGCCCATTTCTACGACTTTTGAAAAATATGGCATGCTTCACCCCGATGTTTATAGCAGCAATGTCCACAATAGCCAAACTGTGGAAAGAGCCAAGATGTCCATCGACAGATGAATGGATAAAGATGTTGTGGTATATATATACAATGGAATATTACGCAGCCATCAAAAGGAATGAGATCTTGCCATTTGCAACGACGTGGATGGAACTGGAGGGTATTATGTTGAGCGAAATAAGTCAAACAGAGAAAGTATCATATGTATCATATGATCTCACTGATATGAGGAATTCTTAATCGCAGGAAACAAACTGAGGGTTGCTGGAGTGGGGGGGTGGGGTGGGAGGGATGGGGTGACTGGGTGATAGACACTGGAGAGGGTATGTGCTCTGGTAAGCGCTGTGAATTGTGCAAGACTGTTGAATCACAGATCTGTACCTCTGAAACAAATAATGCAATATATGTTAAGAAAAAGAAAAAAAGAAGAAGGTAGCGGGAGGGGAAGAATGAAGGGGGGGAAATCGGAGGGGGAGACGAACCATGAGAGATGATGGACTCTGAAAAACAAACTGAGGGTTCTAGAGGGGAGGGGGGTGGGAGGATGGGTTAGCCTGGTGATGGGTATTGAGGAGGGCACATTCTGCATGGAGCACTGGGTGTTATGCACAATGAATCATGGAACACTTCATCTAAAACTAATGATGTAATGTAGGGGATTAACATAAGAATAAAAAAAATAAAAAATAAAAAATAAATTAAAAAAAAGAAAAATATGGCACGCTTCAAGAGTCTGTGTGTCAACTCTGCGCAGGGGCCGTGATAATCTTCTCTGTATTGTTCTAATTTTCGTGTGTGTGCTGTGGAAGTGAGCCCTCAGAAGGTAGTTCTTCACTGTTGGAGGATCTCAGGGGGAAAGAGAAGAGGTCACATGTTCTTTACAATATACAGAGAACAGTAACTGAGAAAGACATTAATCTGGATTAATTGTGTCTCCCAAACATAAAAGTATTTAGCTGTGTGCTGACAATGGGAACAATGTTTTTGGCTTTTCTTATCTTGGCCCTTCCATTATCCAAACCAAAGCTCTCGTCCTGTGGGTGGTCCTGACAGAGGAAATGCACTAGGACAAACGGGTTATGGGGATGGGGAGGGGGGAAGAAAAGAGAAGGAAAAGAAGATGGTCAGCCTTGAGGATGAGGAGGGCTGGCGAGGAGGGACATGTGGCTGGGGCAGGTGAGGCAGGTGTTGAGCAGTGGCGGGTAGGGAAGGGATTAACAGCAAGTTTGGACTCTCTGAGTTTTGCTCCTCCAGCAAACCAGCAGCATCCCTTGGGATCTTGTCAGAAGCTCAGACTATGGGCCCCAGTCATACCTATCCAATCAGAATCTGCATTTTAACAAGATCCCAGGTACTTCTTATGCACGTGAAAGTTCCAGGAGCTCCAAGTTGCCCCCAACCAGTCGGAGCCAGTCTTGATCAGTGTCATCAGCCTGAGACCTATTAATAGACGGAACGGGTTTGGTTGCCTAGAGACCTGGAAATCTGGTTCCTGGTGTAGACTCGGAGTCTCCAAGTTCTTTTATCACTGTGGCCAAAGCCTTGTGACCTCAGTCGGCCTCAGTTTCTCTGCTAAGCATGTTAGTTCTCTGCAGCGGCTGGATCCTTGCCCTGGACCCCTGCTTCCTCTGCTCAGGTCCTAATGCTCGGCCAAACCCTTGCGCTCCCCCTTCCCTTCAGAAGCAGGCTGTGAGTTCCTACTCTTTCCTCTGTTTCTGGCGGGGGGGTGGGGGGGGGCCTGCTGTGACTGGACCAATCACCTGGAACGGTGCCTGATTTTGAGTATTGTCCCCTGGCCTTCTTCCAGAACTGTGTTCTGCTGGCAGGGAGCACTCACTGCGATATCCAAACAGCCTGGCCCAATCGGAGCTAGTCATGCCCTTTGACTGACGCTCACTGGCCTGCCTGGTTGCCCCCGGGGATGGGCCAGCTTCTGAAGACAGGCTCTGGCCCCTGTGCCCCATCGGATTGTGGCTACGTCTCCCTTCCCATGGCCTGTAGTGACGTGCTCACAGCCTGTCACAAAGAGGAGGCAGCCAGCAGAGACCGAGGGAAGCTTCAGTTCCTTCTCTCCCACTTAGCATTTCTGACTCTAGGGCTCCATGGGCCTGCTTCCGAATGGACCCTGAAATTCCCAACAGTGCCCTTGGAGCCTGTTAGGTAACAGGTATTCTAAAAGTCCTAGAAGACTACTGAGTACAAACAGGCTCAGTGGTTTTGTATCCCTTGCACTTCTGGCCCTTTCTCCCAAGTGGAGAAAAAATCTCCTTTGCTGCCTGACTCACTTTATAAAAAGAGGCCAAGCCATAGAGAAGCTCAATAATGTCTCTGGTTACCATATCACCATTTTTTTTTAAAGATTTTATTTATTTATTTGAAAGAGAGAGAATGAGAGAGAGCACATGAGAGGGGGAGGGTCAGAGGGAGAAGCAGACTCCCCGCCGAGCAGGGAGCCCCATGCGGGACTCGATCCTGGGACTCCGGGATCATGACCC